AAAAGGAAATTAAGAAAACAATTTCACTGATGATAGCATCAAAAGAATAATATACCTAATAATACATTTTTAAAAGACTTTACTTATTTAGTTTTAGAGAAAGGGGAAGGGAGGGAGAAAGAGAGGGAGAGAAACATTGAGGCGTGAGAGAAACATCACTTGGGTGCCTCTTGCACACCCCCAACCAGGGACCTGGCCTGCAACCCAGGCGTTTGTTCTGACCAGGAATCGAGTCAGCGCTCTTTTGCTTTGATGGGTGATGGTCAACCAAATGAGCCATGCCTGTCAGTGAAGGAATAAATTTTACAAAAGAAATGCAAAACTCATGATTTGAAAACTAAACTACTAATGCTAAAAAACAACAAGAAAGTGTAACTAAATGGGAAAAGCTCTCATGTTCTTGGACTGGAAGACTGGACATTGTTGAGATGGCCATAGTCTCTACAACAGCCTAGGAGACTCAGCACCATCTCTGTCAGGATTCTGCTCCCTCCTCTGTAGAAATGGACAAGCTGATCCAATAATCCATATGGATCGAAAGATATCCAGAATAGCCAAAACAATCCAGAGAAAGAACAAAATAGGAAGATTCACATTTCAAAACATACTAGAGCTTACTGAAAATCACTGGTAGTGGGGACATTGTAGTATCAGCACAAGGGTAGATTGATCAGCGGAATAGAGTTGAGTCTGTAAGTCAATCCTCACTTCTACGGTCAATTGATTTTCAGCAAAAATGACAAGACCACCGATGGGGAAAAAGTAGTCTTTTCAACAAATGGTGCTGAGACAACTGGATAGTCACATGATAAAGAATAAAATTAGACCCTTACTTCATACTTATGAGCTCTGTCCAGAAAGTACCCAGCCATGCAATACAAAAAATAGAGACATTTAATGAAAAAGAGGCAAGATACAAGAAACATTGTACGTAGGACAATGATGCCTCAGTCCCCTTCAAAGTAGGCACCTTGAGACTTCACACAGTTCTCCTGATCACCATCAGCTTCCCCGCCATATTTTTCTGAATCTCATCAGCAGTCTGAAATCTCTTCCCTTTCAAAGGTGATTTTACTTTTGGGAAAAGCCAGAAGTTACAGGGCACCAAATCTGGGCTCTAGGGGCTGCTGAGTCACCTGGGTGGATTGATGTTTCACCAAAAAACTCTGCAGGAAATGTAATGCATAAGCAGGCACATTGTTGTGATGAAGCTGCCAATCACCAGTTGCCCATAGCTGCGGCCTTCTGAATCATCCAAATAGTTTCTGAAAAGGAATGTTCAAGCTTAATGAAAAATTTGATGCAGATTTGTTGCTCTACTCGCTTAGTCATTTTGAATGCAAAGGCCACACAGCACACAGGCTCACTCAGCGGTGTGTACCACCTTCACTGACCAGTACAGTGAAGTCGTCATTGTTCACACATGCGCATTCCAGTCCATTCTCCTGGGCTGCCAGGTTACATGGACGTCCCACATACCGTTCTTGCTATATTAACAACAGTTGGACTTTTCCCAGACAGACCTGATAGAAAAAAATTAACTCAAAATGGACCAAAGACCTAACTGTAAAAGCAAAAACTATAAAACTTGTACAAGAAAATATGGAGGTTAATCTTCATGATATTGGAGTTTTTCCAAGAATTCTCAGATACACCAAAAGCATACGCAATAAAGAAAAAATAAATAATAAATTACACTTCATCAAAATAAAAAAAATCTTTGTGCTTTAAAGTTTCTCTCAAAGCCACTGCCACGTCTGAGCTGCACTGTGTGCTTGTGGCAGTGTTTTATGACATTCAGAGTCAACCCGAGTTGCTCCCCGAAAAGTGCAACAGATCTGCTCCCTGATTTACCAGCAGGGACTCAGTCCCTGACCGGTTTCCCACCCCTGCCAGAGAGTGAAATCATGGAAAGCACAGAACGTGGAACGGACAGGTGTCAACTGTGGGGAGGCGTGGAGGGAGAGGATGGAACCAAAGGCCACTTTGAAAACCGCTGTGCAAACTCACAGGGCATTTGAAATGCAAGTGCCAACGTGTAGCATCTTTGATTCCTTGGCTTCTGTTTGAGCAACAGCAATGCGTTGTGCAAACTCCTGCTCTGGGACACAAGCCCTCAGCAATTCATTGTGCAAAATCCCTCCAGGGACACAAGCCCTCAGCTTTGGAGCCTCATGTCATGAGGTTGCTCACGTCACTGCTGAGCAACTGGTGGAAGGAGTGCTGCAGCACTCCTTGTTTGCCTGAGTTTCTATTTGTCACATGCCACATCTAGGTACAGTGGATGCATCTCTTCATAGATGGAAAAGAGGGGCAGGGCTTGTCAGAGTGGGGACTGGGCCCATTCACCACATCCGTAGCCTGCCCTCTACTGGCAGACACCTGACAGTAGACTCACCCTGGTGACTTGGGACACACTGTTTATGTAGCTAAAAATGCAGTGTGTGTGCATGTGGGTCATTTTCAAAAAAGGATTTTTAAAATAGTGTCAAAAATACATATAACATAAAATTGATCATTTAAACCGTTTTTTCGAGTGAGGAAAATGTTTTAAAAATTGTAACCATTTTATGTACAGTTCAATGGTATTAATGCATTCACCATCACCAGCACCTGTCTCTAGAACTTTCCCATCTTCCGAAACTGCTACTCCATTTCTATCAAACAACAGCTTCCTATGCTCCTCCCCAGCCCCTGGCAACCACGTCCACTTTCTGTCTCTACGGTGACCTTAGGGACCTCGTGGAAGTGAAATCAGCAAGTGTTTGTCCTTTACGACCAGCTAATGTCACTCAGCATAATGTCCCCAAAGGTTACCCAAACCAGACTTTTACTTTTAATTTTATGTTTTCACTTACATAGTTTGAAAAGTTTAATTTAAATAATTTAAATTCAATCAAATACGTGCCTATTATTTCAAGCGCATACAACAAAAGCTTCTTTCAGGTACAGGAGCACTTTACCGATGGGGTTGCAGATGGTTAGAGTGAGGGGCGCTGCTGAGGGTGGGGTTGTTTAATTCCAAGGTGTGGGAACTGGGGCCTTGCCGTAAACACCGGAGGCGGGGCCACTCCGAGTCTGGACAGACGTCCTGCATTCCAGCACAGTGTTCTGGTCACACAGACGCGACGCTTTGAAACTTTCAAGACCCAACAATCTGCAGCAATTTCAATTAATTATTGAACATATAAAATTTACTACTTTTAATGTAAGCTGTCTAAAGCGCCTGTCTTTCCTTTCTTCTGCAAATAACCATTAATATTACCGCATTCTCATCTTTGACTCCGGTGATTACACTCTTCCAAAAGTACTTCCTCCTGTGAATTTCCGTAGTCATTTGGTCATCTGACCCCACAAAGTAACACTTCAAGTGAAGGCCACGTCCATTCCGGAAGGCGCTGTGAGCATATGTCAAGGGGAAACGGCCGGCCTGCCAGGTAGAAGACGGGAGGTCCCGCATAGACCTCAGTGATTTCTTAAAAGAAATTTCTAGAATGAGATTACACTCCCTGCACCGCTTCTGATTTCTTCTGGGAAATCAGCGGGCTGGTGGAAAGGGCTCTGTCACCTCGGGGACGTGAAGGAGGATTGCCGTCGGAATGGAGATTTGTTTGGGCTGGGTTGTGTGTGGACAGGCTGGCTAATAAGCAGGGGGAGCCTGCTCATTTTTGTGTTTGATATCATCGTTCACTAGAGGTGATGATTTCCTCATGATATGGCCCATATCTATCCACTGTAATAAAAGCTATTAAAACACATATTCTCTCTCTGTCTCTCCCTCTCTTACTTACATATCTGATACATGTACTATATGGCAATAGATATTTTTTCATATATATGTTGCACATCTCTAGACATATGTATAATTAGCCAATCTAGTAGCGTAATTCTAAAATAATAATACTCTAAAAAACAGGTGTTAGTGATAAGTTTAGACATCTTATTAATGACTTGAAATCACAGTGTTTTTGAAATAAAATATGACAGTCTTTTTTTTTATATGGTGTACTTAGTATTTAGAGTAGCAAGCTAGTTATGTATATAGAGATTTAAAATATTTTAGTAGGATATTAGCTGTTCTACATAATGTTACAAACCATTGAGAGAAGTGGGGGAGCTGATGACCAACACATGGAAATCTTCCTCAGATGTGTTTCCTGAACTTGGTTAAAATTTAACGTGGGGCGTGAGACAAATAGCTGATCAACTTTACAGAATACACATTTTTGGTGCTAAAGATAATATTTGCTAGCACTTGACAAGTAGGAAATCATGCAGATCACTGTTCTGTGGCAGCCTGGGTGCTCTGATGTGAGCGGCATCGGGGGTGCTGAAGGGCGGTTTGGGAGCCTATTTACAGGAGTAGAGAAAATATTACAGGATTTGGAATTATTAACAGGAGATGCTTTATGCTTTCCAGGGAGAAAATGTTGTAATAGTTAAATATGAAAAATAGCGTATCCCAGTAGTTGAAGCTGAGGCGGCATTTCTCTTGTTCTAATTTTGGGGTGTCTTTAATGTCAGTCTCCTGCTTTCGGCCAGTGTGGAGCCTCCTACAGCAGACTTTCCGTTCCATTTCCATTCCCAGGTAGTTTTGGAAAAACACGAATAAGATCTTAGAGATAAAAGACAACACCTCTCGGGTGGCTGGCTGGCATACGATTGCTTCATTTCAGGGAATTTTGTGAGATAATCACTCGTCATGTTTATCTGAAATGCTGCCCCCCAGTGGTGGAAAGAAATCCACGAGGAGAGAGTTGATCAAAACTGGCCAAAATTTGTATTTGAAACATTGAACAATTTTGTCCTTAGTTGAGGCAACAGGGGCCCTGTCCTGCGCGCATACAAGGTCCAGGGCACATACATGGACATGCCTGTCACTCAGCAGTGGTGCTCAGCTCTGGCACGTCCATTGCAACCCATAACCTTCAATGTTTATTCTTCTGACAAACGATAGTCAAATCCTAAAGGAATTATTTAGATCTCATTATTTACAGATTTTGTATGTGTAAATTCACATACTCATTAAAACTTATTTGTCACCCCCAAATGAATACTCGTGGTACTTTAGTATTCACTCATGGATTTTAAAAAATGGAGTCACCTGGTCCCAGTTCAAGTCGATCAAAACGACAGTGCCTTTTTCTTCCAGCTCTCGTACTGTAAAGAAGTGTCCTTTGCACAGTTTATTTAGTGCCACATTTTGTGGTTTTGCTGGGGATGTGCTGTTTCAAGTGGCCCCCGCGTGCTGTTCTGGAGCGCCATCTAGTGTTTCTAGCGCAAACAGGCTACGGTGTGTCCAAGGAGATTACTTGGCTAGATCAGTTTCCTTTGCTGGATCAGTTTCCTTAGAGAAGCACGAGTGAGTTGCTGTTGGCAAGGAGTTCACTGTTAATGAAGCAACAATAGGTATCAAACAAAATGTCTTTAAAAATAAACACATACAACAAGGTTTTGATTGGTTGGCTGACTAATGTGACCAGAGGCTCACAGGAACTTAAACCTGTATTTTCCTGAGAGCAACTGTGGAATATTCACTAGTTTGGTGTTTGTGACAATGTTATAGAGCAGAATAATTGTGAATTAGGGGAATCCTCCTTACCTCTACCTATACTCTTGAAACAAAGGTGAATGTGTCAGAATGCCAGGAGGGTTTTGGGTTGTGTCTCTGCCTGTACCGGAAATGAACAGTTTCAGAGCATGGAGTGTTTTGAACAGAACTTCTTTGGTTAGAGAAAAGCCCAGGTAATTAACTCGTTACATCCTCCTTCACATGTGACACGCATACAATAAATTTGTGTAATAAAATATCGTTTGCCATTAGAGCCAGGTGTTAGTTTTCTTGTTTCTCTTCATGTTTCATTCACAAGTTGTGGCCAAACAGTATCTTGCAGTTTCAAACAATGTGCATTATTGTGAAGTTTGAAGACATGTAGGTGCACAAGATATAATGATTCTCCCCTTTGGCAACTAGATAGACATTGAATTCTAGAACAGAGAATAACTTTATAAAATTAAAATTATTTACTTTTTTACTTTTTATAAATTATTCACTAAGATTTTTAAAATGTAAAACAAAAAAATCATTGCCTGATTTTGCTTTAAAAATGTTGCATTCATTGATTATAATTGTTTTCTTTTTATTTTATAGTTTTAAAAGTAAAATTTAAAAACATATTTTAAAATATAATTAAATTTTTTTGTATATTTACATGAAGTTATATTTTGATGAAAACATAATCAAGCTTATATACTTTGAATGTAATTACATTTTATTTTTACTCTTTTGTAAAGAGTAAAAATTTGTAACAGAACAAATATATAAAGCTTGGTTGTAAGAACATAATTAGTAATTTTGCTGAAATAAAGAAAAGAATAATTTTATAGAAAAATATCAAAATTTATGAATTATATGTGGATTTTGTTACACACCCAAACATTCCTGGTTCTTTAACACGTACACAGGGCACCTTTAATAGTTGGCAAACTTTCAGTTATATAAAACCACAGCTTTCTAATATATTTTAAAAATTTGTTAGGAAGTATTTGGAGCACTTCATTCTTTATTACACAGTATGTAAGTTAGATTTCATGTTTAAGCCCCTGTGACTTGCAGCTTGGGGACCAAGGTGTGTGCCCTTGCTCAGACGCTGCAAATATGAGGACAGGCCTGGCTGTGAGCCCAGGACTCGAAGTTTTCTGAGACCCCATCCAGATCTGACTTGTTCAAACGTTCTCAGTGCTGCCTGGCTTTCTCTCCTCCTTTTGGCAGCTTTCAACTTGTTCTTTAATAATACATTGAAAATGTTTAAAAGTTCCCATAAACTTAGAAGCAGATGGGTATTTCTGTAGCTGTGCTAGCAAGAAGCCACAGGACCAGTTGTAAAGTTAGTCCATGGACCAGTGGCAGCTGCCTCTGCGAACACACTTTGAAAGCCACCAGCGGCAACTCCCAGAGTCAGTCGACCAGGAGTAGATGCGTGTTTATGCACACGCTGAGAGCCAGCGACCAGCAGTCTTTGAACTCCACCAGACCTACGTTCCTGTAGCAGACCAGCACTTGACTCTGTACTGTGACCTTCTAGAAGAATAACTCCCTTTCCTGGGACAAGCTGTCTGTTTGGCTGTGACTCTGTTTCAGGTGTTGTGTGAGTCTCACCACACGTTGGTAGCTCCCCACTTACCTCTCTAATTCTCTGAGTAGCCAGAGTCAATTATTGTGGCTTTGGACCATGGGCACAAGAATTTGGGATATTGTAATTGCTCAGTGTAAAGTTCAGGGTGGTTGAATGAAGGGACTTGGCATTCGTGGGTGTGCGTCATTGTGCGTTGTGGCTGGAATAATAAACAGGGTGACCCAAGGCTCCTCTCACGGTGCTTCTGGTCTAACAGGGAAACGGAGAAGTAAGCAGAGCACTTACATAGGGAGGCAAGCTAAGCTCACCTGGTCTCCTGCCCTGGGGGGCGATGACTAGATTCTCTGCAGAGGTCAGAGTTTCATTCATCTAGCTGAATGAAATGTTCATGGAGTAGAGGACAGCCATCATCAAATGCTGAGAGAAAAGAGCTCGTTGAAGGACTGGATCTACAGGATGGCTTCTTACAGGGAACAGGAAAAGGACATTTCAGGGACATCACCTCCTGCTGACTATCCTTCTGCCAGGAGAAAGGGAGCCCAGCTCAGCTTCTCGAGGTGTGGCACAGACTAGAGCTGCCACAGCAGGAAGTGTGGCCTGGACACTGAAGGGTGAGAGGCAGGTGAATGGGAAGTTTACAGGTCACATGACAAAGAGGACACCCTGGGAGAATAGGACAGGAAACGTCCTGGTGGGTTCTGCTGGCCCTGGATCTGAGGAAATCTGTGAGCCAGAGCGTAGGAGGGCTCTTAGCATACCTCAGTGTCCCAGAGTAAAGGAAGGCTTGTCCTAAAACCACAGGGACTCACAGAACCCAGAGCTCAAACAAACAAAACATGACAAGAGGTGGAGAGGAGGGGAGGAGGATGGAAAGAAGGAAGGAAAGAAGGAGCAACGGAGAAAGGGGGAGGGGAGCAAAGAAAGTCATGCTTCCCTCACTTTGTGTGGCGCACCAATGTCTAATCACTATGTCGTACACCTGAAATGAATATAATATGGCATGTCCACTGTAAATGAAAAATTAAAAGATAAGAACATTTTGTAATAACTACAAAACAAAGCTGCCCTTTCAGTCCCTCTCTTCTGCTTGTTCATAACAACAGCTTCATCACTGGGAAAGAAGCACACTATCCATTTGCCCTCCACACAGTAATCTTCAGATGAGAATCTGGAAACAGAGGGCTGCGGGAAGCACTCAGCGTGGGAACGAATGAACACGGAATGCTGAAGTTTTGCAGACAGCCGGGGGCCTCCTTTTTCTGCATCCCAGCGAGTCGTCGGAGAAACCTAAGCGGTAAGTGCGCCCAGGATCTTTCTGCAAATAGAAAAACGGAGCTCCCATTTAACTGGACATTTGTCTTCCGACATAAACAGACTTACCCTTGAAGTGCAGGAGAGGATATAATGTCCTGCAGGACTAAAGAGGAAATAAAATCACACCAGAGGGAGAAGCTGTGGAGAGAATGGGAAAAAAAGCAATATTGTCACCATGAAGTTGTAGGAATATGAGGTTTTCTGAATGGTTTACTGTCCCCAAAAGCCAGCCAGGTAGGAAAACCAGCCTCCAGATTGAAGGGTGGAGACAAATGTGACAGCATCTGGGGTATTGTTTATTATCTTGTGAGGCCAAATGGCCTTTCTCCTCTTACATCACTCTTTTTCCTGTCTCAATTTCCTTTTAAAGAATATTAAGAGTATTTAAACACAATCGTTCATTTTGAAAACAAAGCTTCATCTTGGCCAAGATCTGTGCTTTCTGTTTTCTGACTTTAGGTACCATTAAACAAAAATGAATGGTTACAGAGTTTTTATTATCACACTAATTTTACTTTTAAGTGTTACTAACTGGCTTTTCTTTTTATCATTGTGGCATGACTCATTTTTACAGGGAGGTGAGCATGGTGCAGGTCAAATACGTGAAACCAGTCATGGGAAGAAATAGAGAAGGTGGACGTTTAGAGAGTAGTTCCATTTTCCAACACTAGGGGCTCAGTAAGTGTCGTACTCTGAGAACAAAAGCAGTGGGGTTGTGCAGGGCGCAGATAAAGGAGGAGGGCCAGGACCTCAGTCAAAGGCTTCCCGAAAAACACAACCAATTAAATAGATCAATAGATTGATTTTTAGGAACTGTCCATTGCTAGAATGGAGTCTAGGAAGTCCCCCAATCTTCTGTTTGCACGCTACAAACCCAGAAGAAGGGGTTGTAGAGTTCAAGGCTCCCAAGCCAGAACATGAGGATGGGTCACCAGGAGACAATCTCCTCAGCCTCTGAGAGCTTCAAAGCAGGGACTAGCAGAGGTCTGCACATCTATAGTTCTGCACTCCATATACTCATTCTGGCAAGAAGTCAATCAATTAATACAAACCCTTTTATTTCCGATGCAAGCAGCATACATAACACAGGCATCGGCTTGGGGCCTGCCTCCTGACATTCAGAGAAGTGGTGAAGTCACACAGCAATAAAGAATAAAGTCCTAGGATTAAAACTGCTCATCTGTATCCCCAAATTGACGTAAAAATAGCGGGGATTAGTATTTATATAATGATTAGGCAACACTTAAAGTTCATTAACTGAGTCTTTAATTTATTTTTTCAACCATATTCTCAAATATTTGAAAACAGCCTCAATTATAAAAACATGTCTACATAGGGAATGGATCTTAAGCTAAACGCATTGTGTTTATGATAAAAGATAGTCCCTTGGCTGCAATGCCATGGCAACCAAGAACTCACATTATTGTGAGCCTGTGAGTAATTGGTATGGAGAACAGGCAGAAGCCAGTTGTTTTATAGTTTATGCCAACTGGAATTCAGAAAAACTATCAGTAACATTTTTTAAAGATTTCATTTATTTATTTTTAGAGAGAGGGGAAGGGAGGGAGGGAAAGAGGGAGGGAAACATCAGTGTGTGGTTGCCTCTCACGCACCCTTCACCGGGGACTGGGGCTGCCAGCCAGGCATGTGCCCTGAGTGGGAATCTAACCAGTGACCCTTTGGTTCCCAGGTCCACGCTCAATCCACTGAGCTACAGCAGCCAGGGCTCAGTAACTTTTTTTTTTAGTGGAGGTCTTACTGTCATTTGCAAATCCCCTTGATAGTCTGACAAACTGAGAGGACATGAGACATATCAATAAAAAACAATTCTGCCTCCAACAGCTATTGGTCCTCGCAAAGAGTCTCTCGCTGAAGTTTAGTACATTAAACAGTAAGAGTGCTTGAGGTTGTTAACATTACTTATTCATTCAAATGAGTATTTCCTGAGCCTTTACTCTGTGGAAGGTCATGGGAAATTGCAGAGTAAAACAACGGTAATAAGAGGGTAATAATCAGTTCCCGTTGTTCCTTAATGGAGCCTCCGAGTGCAGGGAGCACAGGCAGGCGGGAGTAAGGGGTAGCCTTTTGTGTCCATACAATGTCACAACTTAACTAAATATTAGGTAGTTCATCATTTCATAACTTAACTGAACAGTGGGCAATTTCGTAATCTCAGTAACTATTAGATAACCACAGGAAACGGAGGATCAAAAGAACGGATGGCTGGGTCAGTTCTAGGAAGCTGCAGTGAGTGCTTAGGAAGAGACTTGTTTTAAAAATGAGTAGCCAAGAAACATTGTTCATTTGGATGTTGTGAATCTGCTACAAATGATTGAGAAATTTAAAAAGTCTGGTGGATTCTGCATCCAGACGTCTCTCATGATGTCAGGGGGAATCCTTGCCCCGTGGCTTGATTTGAAGAAGGAACAAGGTGCAGAGCTCAGAGCGGACGTTGGTGCTCCGAGGAAGGAAGGAGAAAGGACTCATGCCTGCCTAGATTTGGCCAAAGTAAAACATTGTTTGCATCTTTGTGTGTTTAATTTTGAGCTTAAAAATCATAAGTAACTTTTGAATTCAATTGATCTGACTCTTGCTGCATAAGAGCTTTGCCAGGCGGACGATGGGTCCGTCTACCAAAAAGAGACAGGGATACGCTCAGGTGTGGGGTGGGAGCACATCTCCATCTGGTGGGATGCAGCTATCCAGTCATTCCTTTTAGGTCTGCAGGCTCCTTGCTATGATCTTTTAAATGTCTGAGCATTTTAGTGTTATTTTTCTCTGTGCTGTTGTTCCCCGCATACATCTGAAAAGAGACGCTTATCCATGGCTTGTTTAATTTTACTGCAGGATTTAGGAGTGCAAAGCCACGAGACAGATGTAAACTGGGGGTCAGTGGTTCCCAAAGCAGCACCATTAATATGATGTGGTCCACGTGCTGGTGGAGGGGAAGCGCTCCTTTCCATAAGACGAGTAAGACAATACCAAAAGCAGATTGAGTTTCCCCCCACGGGACTGCTTTTGTACAAGCACATTTTTATTTCTCCTAAGAACACCTTCGGTGTCACCCGTGGGCTGTGTAAATCTGGGCAAATCAGACTGGTGTCACAGGCCTGCTAGCATCGATCACGTCCGTTGAGGTGATGCTTAAATGAAGAGAAATATTCGGTGAGGCTAAAACAGTAGCCAGCACATGGTGAGCACTCGGGCGTGCAATCCTGTTTTAGTTTTTCTCTGAAGATAGATTATGCCTGAGATGCTGCCAGTTTTCTTGGACTTTTTACAAACCCAGAGGACATGTAAAAATGATACAGTTTCCAACATCTTCCACACCAGGAGAAAAATAACTTAAAGTGTCTGGGAAGTGTGAATATTTTGTGCAGCACTATCGTCCGAACCTGCTGCTGCCTGTTTGAGCCGTCCTGTAACATTCGGGGACCACTCGTAGCTCAGAGGGTCTTCAGTGAAGAAAAAAGCCCTCACCCCTCCCGCAAGAAGGAGGGGATGCTGGTTAGCACAGAGCTGGCCCCATCCTCTCCAGGGCTGTCCTGTCACCCTGTTGATGCTCCCCAGGTTTCCTATCAACCCAACTCTACTCCCAGCAGTAAGATTTGGCAATTCTAACATGTTATCTTCTCTTTCTTGGCACACGTGATATTTATCACCAAGCTGGTCTTTGTTCAATAATGTGGATGGCTCAAAAACCTAAAAACAATGTCCGCGTTAACATATGGAAATGTCTGAAGTCACTTAGTGTCCCATTCAACATTTCAGATGAAAAACCTTTACTTTTGATTATTCCATAGACAGTAACAATTCAGGTTTATCAATGATGGTTTAAGATGAGGAATGAGAATTACAGCTGAAACTGTAACAAACAAACCCCCCAAGCCTAGCCAAGACGACCAACCGACCACATAAACAACAGAGCCAGGAATCTGGCTCCAAAGTTCTGGGAAACGCTATGGGAATAGATGCTTGTACAACACGCAGGCAGAGTTGATTAGCGTTGTGAAGATTCAGTTTCCTTGTAGTTTTTCTCAATCCCTGGGATTTAAATCACTTGGGAAAAACACAGAATAATCCATAATTTGTAATGGTGCAAGCCAGATGAGTAATTATTTTACCCCTATCTGGTTTTTTTTTTTTTTTTCTGGATTGTAATTAAAACGATCCTAAAGTGTTGTGGGTTCTGGGCTGAATTTACGACGCTTTGTTCATTATCTTTCAGAGCATGACATCTGCATTCTGTATTTAGGACACTAGAGGGCAGCGCTAGACTGGACTAAGGTTCCTGGAGAGCAGAGAAAGAAAAGCAAAAACAAAACCCTCTCTGCGGTAATGTCCTTTTTTGTTTTTTCCCCCTTTCTCTCCCTATCTTTTCTCCTCCCTCTCTCCTTACCTCTCTCCCATACGTTGTCTTCCTTTTTTCTTATAATGGCACTCTTTTTAAATGTTCAGAGAACGAAGAGATTGCGAGGTGACCTCACCAAGTTGGGCACAAATTATAGTTTAAACAGCAGTGCCTGCTTTTACTTTCTGAACACCATTCAACACATTTAGTTAGATGAACGTTATTTGGGGGTTTGTGTTACTTTTCCATTTTCTTGTATTCTCATTCTTCCCGTAAGATGTTTCCCTCTAAAACGGTTCGAAGCGCAGCCGGACCTGGACGCTCATCGATCTCAAATGCACCCTCGGACACCTCCCGGGAGCACTGGCTTCCACGTGGCCGCGAGCCCCGCTCTGGCCTCGCGGGCAGCACCTGGCTGCGCGCTGACCCTCCTCTGTCCCCGCTGAGGCCCGCCCCTCCCCCACACCCCGAGGAGGGGAAGGCAGCTGTGGACGCCGATCCGGGCTCTGCGACTTGAAGATACTTATTTCTCTGATCAGAATTGTTTTTTCCTTAAACTTTGAGTGTTAATTAACAGAGCTGATTTCGTGGTGTTAGGAGGTTGATAGGACCCTGGTTTCCGGCCTCTAGGTCGCACTCCGTGTTTGCTGTCACTCATTCCGTCCTTCTTCAATCTGCACTGCTCACAGCACTACCAGTCCTTCAACTTTCCTTCCTGCATCACGTACACCTGACGATGAGATCCCAGGGCTTGATTCATGTACAGGGCATCATCTAATCAAGACATTTAGAAATAAGAAATGCCTTTAAAAATGTTTTTGTATTAGACTTAAAATAACGCTCCCATTCCACAAAACTACCATATTTTCACCTTCTTAATTGCCAAGAAAATAATGTTGTAGCATATAATATATTTTAGGATAAAATTTGGTTTAAGAATACTCTAGTTTGGAAACTGGTAAGACTGGATATTCTAACTCTGCCTTGTCCGATAGCGCAGCCACAGGCCCTGTGTGGGCCCGGGAGGGCTGGAGATGAGGCCGGTCCAAACTGGGCTGACAGTGGGAAACGCCCCCTGGGTAGGAAGGTTTGGCATGAAAAAAATAATGTAATTATCGCATGACTATTTTTTGTGTCATGTATACATTGAAATACTATTTTAGATTAGGTTCAGTAAATAGTAAAATTACTTCCATCTATTTCTTCTAATGTATTAATGTGTTCTGGAAAACTTTAAATTCCTTATGTGGCTTGCTTTGGATTTCCAGTGGATAGCACTCCCCTCAATAGTTTTGCGCCAAGGGAAAATTCAAAGCGCCATTGGTTGTATTATTTTTAAAAGTAAAATAAACTCATGGAGGAGAAGGTATTACGAATACATTCACTGAAGAGGTATTTAAAATAGATCCGCCAGTAATTCGTCGAACCCCTTTCTCATTGGCTATTTCTGTCAGTTTCGTGACCTTTGAGTAACCGTCTTTGTTGAAATGTGACAAGTGAAGCTTTTTCCCTTTTCTTCTTTGCTTTCTTGAAAAGGCTGAGTCTCAGTGTGAGTTACCAGTAAACCCATCAGGTGTAGACAAAGGGGAGTGGGGGATTCTAGGTGCAGGAGCCCCCCTTGTTGGTTTCACTGTAGGGCCCACACCAGCGGCTCTGGGTTCTCAGAGAACAGACATTTGCTGTTGCAGCCCTTGCTCATTAGGATCCACCTCCCTGAAAAACTCAGCATGTGCTCCTTACATCAATGTATTGCGTTGGGGGCAGAAGAAGAGCCTAGCACGTATTTTTCTCCCCTCGAATGACATTTTAAAATGTGCACAGTTTATAAACATTCCTTTTCAGATCAGAAAGTTTTCTCCCTCACTGTCAGTGGGGTAGAGTCAATGGTGATAGATAGTATTATACTTACGTTTTCCTGCTACATGTAATGCATTACATTCTAATTAGGTTTATTGCCACGTTGTTTTCAGTTTGTGGAGGATCGCAGGTCACGAGGAGGCCAGGAGCCTGCCTGCTTCTCAGCGGCCGCGGGTGCCCCCACGTATCTCTCTGAAGTGAATCTTGCAATTCCCTCCTTCATCACATCCCTGCTGTGCTGTGTTTTATCAGATTCTAAAAAACATTTTCTGACACCCAGGGCAGGGAAGGAATCATTTATAATACATGCTAGTGACTTGTCTTTTATTTATAAATCATTTTGCTTGGAAGGCTTTTATTTCCAGGCATGCGGCACAGCCTCAATTCCATTTAAACAGATCCTCTGCCTCCTGTGTTCCCATTGCTTTTCACATGACTCTGATATTTCCATAATGAATAATAAAATAATACTTTTGGGGCTTTTGGCTGTGGGTGTTTGCAAAACCTGCAGAAACGTTCTCAGGCTGGGTCCCCATCTCAGTGGCTTCGACCTGTCAGGGTGCCCTGGGGCATCTGCTAGGCGCTGCTGTTCTGTCCACAACATGGCCCACACTGGCTGCGAAGATGACCCAGTGCCTGGGAGATGAGGCCAGCTCCTAGTTCATCTATGGCACAATATTTTGGATCTTAAAAAAAGGTAATTCTTGTTTTCAAATTATTAGTTACTAGAATAAAATCGAGTGGCTTTGGGGACTGGGAATGCAGTGAAAAGACCCTGGAATTTGAGCCACAAGCCTCCTGCTCTCCACCTGCCCTGACCACACCAGGTTGCTCAGCTTTTCTGAGCCTCAGTTTCCCCATACATAAAACGGGAGTACAATAATACTTTTGGGATAGGACAGTTGTGCTGATTTCTGCAATGATAGTGGAAGGAACCACGCTGTAAATGACACAGCAGGATACAATGTTACCTTACTTTGATCATTTTTGATGTTTGACAAACGAAGAAGGGCCCAAATCCTGGTCAGTCTTCCAGACTGCCTTGTTAGGAGAACTTCAATATTGTTACTCACGGAGCAATGAGAGAGAATTGGCAGAAGTGCTGGCAGAGAAATATACACAGAATATTTCTCTCCCTGGTTTCCACAAATGTGTGGTTTTGACAAATTTTAAAAACACAACCCAAGAGTTCCGGGACCAGTGAAGAAATCTGATGTGTGCGCCAGTTCCCGTCAAGTTGCCCGTGGCTACTTGGTTACTTGGTGCATCTATGCCCCGGGGGCTCTGGTGGTCAAGGGTTTGGTTGTGGTGACTCTGTGGAGGAGAGGGGAAAAGGTCGGGGTAGGATGGTGATGAGGGTCCATGTGACCCCTGGGACTTGCTTCCTGAGGTCTGAAAAGGCTGGAGGTCTGGTCCCTGATCCAGCACCAGCGAGGTGCGCCGCGAGGAGAAGACACTCAGGAGGCTTTGTCTCAGTCTCTCATCTTCTTGAATGTCCTGACCACGGGACCGTGCCCATGCTGGTCCCTGCTGACGGAAGCAAATGCAACCTGCCAGCTTGCTGCGAGCCACACTCACACTGGGAAAACCAATGTCCCCATTTGACTGTGAATGAAATTTATAACAGTGGTTAACAGTCTGCTATAGACTCTTAATAGACTTTATTTTTTAGAACAATGTTAGAGTCACAACCAAATTGAGAGGAGGTTACAATTATTTCCCACGCACCCCTGGTCCTCCTCATGTGCACTGTGTCCCCTGTGCCAACATCCCCACAAGATGACATAGTTGTTAGAAATGATAAACCCGCATGGACAGGCCATCATCACCCAGAGCCATGGTTGGCTTAGGGTTGCTCTTGATGTGGTGCATTCCATAGGTCTGGGCAAATGTCCAATGAAATGAGCCCACTGTTAGAGTACCACGCAGAGTAATTCACTGCCCTAAAGGTCCTGTGCTCTGCCCACTCATCCCTCTATAGTTTGCTTTAGAATTTTATCCTAAATTTTGTATTTCAGTTTGACATTTTTCTTGTTGAAACTCTAAAGTGATTTACTCTCAGGGACCCTGCATGAAAACTTCTACATATTTTATTTGAAAACAGCCATTTTTTAGAGAAGTTAGCAGTGCCTTGCTAACTTTATTTTTAAATTTTTATTTATTTTTGGAGAAATTGCTATGTTTATCCTTTCATGTAACTGACATAATTTAGAATTACAAATCTTAAATTAACATCTTAGTGTATTTTGAACACAAATAGAATATAAATGTAAAAGGACTTGGTGGGCCCTAAACAATAAAAAGGAAGCCTAATCATTTTTATTTTATTTAAAAATCTTTATGCTTTGACAGTTCTCCCAATTTTCCCCTCTGTGCCCCCCGCAGCCCCACAGTCAGCCCCCACGCTGGCCGTGTCTGCGAGTAATGCCTGAATGTTCTTTGACTAGTCCCTTCACCTTCTCTCAACCAGTCCCCACTTCTTCCCTCCCCGTTATAGCTGTCAACCCGTCCCAAGTTTCTATGTCTCTCATTCTGTTTTACTCATTAGTTAATTTTGATCATTAGATTCCACTTATAAGTGAGATCATATGGTATTTTATTTCACCGCCTGGCTTATTTCACTTCGCATGATAGTCTCCAGTTCCATCCATGCTGTTGCAAAAGGTAAAGATTCCTGCCTTTTTGCTGCTGTGTAGTATTCCATTGTGTAAATATACCACAGCTTTTTATTCACTCATCTGCTGATGGGCACCTAGGCTGTTTCCAAATCTTGGTTATTGTAAATAGTGCTGCTATGAACATAGGGGTGCCTATGTTTCTTCAGAACACTGAAGAAAGAAACAATTAAGTAGAAGCACATGCCCTGTTCATGGATTGGAAGAATTAACATCATTAAAATATCCATACTACCTAAAGCAATCTATAGATTCAGTGCAATACCTATTAAAATATCAACAGATATTTTATCTGTGCTCTTGCTATTTTATTTGGTATATTTTACAGATCTAGAACAATATTCCAAAAATTTATATGGAATAATAAAAAAAGCAAACCCCAAATAGCCTCAGCAATCTTGAGAAAGAAGAACCAGGTTGGAGAAATCATAATACCTGATATGAAACTACGCTACCAGACTCTGCCTGCAATCAAGACAGCCTGGTACTGGCATAAGAACAGACACAGAGATGAATGGAAGAGAACAGAGAGCCCAGAAATAAACCTGTGGTCAATTAACATTTGACAAAGGGGGCCTGAGCATACAGTGGAGGAAAGACAGTATCTTCAGTAAACAGTGTTGAGAGAACTAGACTGTACATGCAAAAAATGAAACTAGGCCACCAACTTATACCATACACTGGAATAAACTCAAAATGGATAAAAGACTTAATAGAAGTCCTGATACCATAAAAATCTTAGAAGAAAACATAGGCAGTAAAATTTCTGATATCTCACATAGCAGTATTTTTGCT